TTAGTTCTAGGTTAGTAAAAAAAAGAATAGATAAAAGATGGTGTAGTCTAATGATATGTAACTAAAATAATTAAAAAGTTAAAGTTATTAAAATTGTACTTAATAACAAACAAACAATCTCTACTTTTTTCTTTCTTTCCTACCCATGAAATGTTTATATCATCTTATATTTTTTATTTGGCAACTGAGAACAACACTTAGGTCACAACTGAACTTGAGTATAAGATCCTTTATAGAGACTTGAAACAGCAAATTAAATATTTCCCAGTAACTTCTCATCTGTAAGTGTGTAAATCAATGCTATAAAGGTTTTTTTTTGGTCCCCCTAATCTTTAACCCTATGGGTACAGAGTGCTAATCAGTTTGATATCAGAGTTATTAGATTTTCATGTTACCCTAAACTGCTTACTTTGCAACACTTCATGTTAAAGTAAAGAATATACTAGATTCAACATACAGGGATGTTGAAAAAACTTTATATATGTAGTGAAGAAGTTGAAGTGGTTATGCAAATACACCATGCAAACTCTATGATGGACAAAAGTATTTTTATACACTATGAACTTCACCTTGCACTCCAACTTGTCAAAGTCTGAGTCAGAATGACTTCATCATTTCCTTTGGGACTGCTGTCAGGACCAGGCATCCAAGTTTAAAATTCTTGGCTAATACACATTTCCAAGCAGCCAATTCTAAAGTTGGAATGGATTAAGGTCTAGTGTTTTTAGTATTAACACCTCTGATTTGTGTGTACAATAGACTTGTACTGTTTACTAAAAGCTTGAATTTAGATTTATAGTCAACATTACCAACCCCATGCACATTCAGATAAGGTTTCTAGGTTATCTACATCATTATACAGTACTAAAAATAAACTGCTTGCTCAAAGACAGAGTTTGAGCTCCACCTTAAAAACTTAACTTTATATTTATATTACAATGACAGTAACATACAACTGAAGAAAATGTACAAATGTGTACATATATATATACACAGAATCCACTTAATGGACACTGCTTGTATTTAAAAAAAAATTCTTTCATATTAAATTTTCTTTCTTTTTTTTAGTCCTCTATACTTTTGTGTTGTTAGAAGGTGTATGATGGATATTAGATATATCAGTCTTTTAATAATAATATCAAATATGTTGGATTTATGGTTATGTATGAACATTTGTGTCTTTCTTTGAACAGATAGTAAAAACAATACCATCAGGATGCCTCTAGCTATTGAACAAAGTGTGAGACGGCAAAACACCAAGTTTATGCACAACAGAAATCAGTTCAGTAGCGAGTACTTTCAGTTCATGAAGAAACTGATTAGTTGTAATGCTCCTTATGTTTTACTCCAACCAGGTCAAGACAAGCTGGTGAGTTTTGCTTGCTTAAGATTTGAATTTAAAACGTAGACTTGTTAGGTTCAATTTTCATTTTAAATAACTTTACAGAAGCTTAATGAATAAAATGATGCCAAAGATAAAATTTCCTTTTTTGTGTTTTTGAATGATTGAGATACCTGTGTTTTATCTTTTCATTTTTCAGGGCCCAGAACCAGAAGAGCTAGCCATGATAAGTGTGCAGCTAGCTGCTAAGTTTCTTTTTACTACAGGATTTCACACAAAGAAAACTCTGAGGTTTGAACCAGTTGTATTTGTTTACTGGAGTTGTATATATTATCCATATATATATAAAATCCTTGTTTTATTGTTTTTTAATTAGATTACTAACATTATGTGTTGTTTCCATTATTTTTTAAACATTTTTTCTACTTATGAACGTTTCTAGCTAATGTTTTTTATTTTCAGGTTTAAATTAACATTTTTATTTATTCTCATATGGTTAAGTTTGTTTTTTGTAGATTTATATTTATACTTTTTTTTTTCTTAGGTATTTCTGAATGTGCTCAATACTGAAACATAGAGTTTAATTTTGTGTTATAGTAACTCATATTCTTCCTTTGTTGAAGTGTAACCATCAGTTTGATTTCTTGTTCTAAAATCTATATGAAGAATATAATTTTAGAGTAAGCAAAAACTTAAAACATCTGTTTCTCATGATACTATGAAAAGTTTTTGGTTTTTACTTAACAGCACTTTTTTTAATCTTTACTATTTTATTTCTCCTTTTATGTGATATTGCAGCAGCTTTTGAAAGGGGAACTCTAAAATAAAGATCAAAGAAAAGAAAATCTTAGGATTGAATATTATATAAGCTATTGCAGAATTCTAGTGAGAAGTTAAATAGAATTGTTAAGAAACCCATCTATTTGTTTTTTTATTGCAGTTATCAGAAAATTTCTGATTAAATTTAACGATTAGTGCATTTTTATTTCAGAAAAAATGACTTATTAAGTAGGTAGGAGTATGGATTGTATATACAGCTTGTGTTAAATTATAGTTGAAAAAAAAAATGTGTATTGATATAGTGATTGAGTTTTGTTTGGCCATGTTATATACATTATAATAGTTCTCACAGCCATATCAGGCATGGTACAACTTCTTTAAGCAAAGGAATTTTGTTGGATGAGAAAGCTTCAAAATAAAAGAACAAATGCGATTGAATTTAACTACAACTGTTCATTTGATTGACAAAAAAAATCAAACTAAACTACATTGTTTGTATTTATTTATATTTAATATCAGTTTTTTTCTGTTTACTGTTGCTGCAGAGGTCCTGCTAATGAATGGTATGATGCCCTTTGTTTACATCTTCGAAATAGCCGCAACGTTCGTCGGTGGTTTGCAAATGCAGCTCTGTTTGCTCACCCCCATCGATTCTGTGAATATCTTCTGGAATGTCCTAGTTCTGAGGTGAGCCGAACGAGACTAAAGTATACTAATTTGAATGTGTGGATGAAAATAAACATGTGTTTGTACTTGTGTTGTCAATATTATTGGTCAGGTTTTTATGCATAATTTTATAATTAGTTTTCACACTTATTAAAAAATAAGTTTGTGCATGGGATTGATCAATTGATCTTTGTTGATGTAAAAATCTAACAATTTAATATACTTACATATGATACATTACATGTTGTTTTATACCAAGTTGGATTTTAAAAATTATTTAAAGGAATTAGTAAAATTGTTTAACATTCTTTGGTTCTGTTTTTCTCCACATTAGGTCCGCAGTGCCTTTGTGAAGATCATTGTGTTTTTGGCTCATTTTTCTCTTCAGGATGGACCTTGCCCTACTCCTGTTCATTTTACTTGTAAGTTACATAACTTATTTCTTTTTTAACTTCACTGTGGCTGTCCAATTTATGACGTCATGATTTTCAGATCACTTTTTCACAAACGCACACAAACTCTTCTCCCATCCACAATAAGGTGTATTTTTTGTTTGGAAAGTAATAGCAAAATCTTCACACTTTAACTTTACATAAGGATTGCTTTCAAAATCCAAAATTTGCAGGCTTTTGGTATTGGTTAAACTTTTATTCCAAAAACACATTTTACCTAATATGATGTAAAGGTTCCCAGGGGTGACAGAGGAGTGTAACTCCTAATATCAGACACCCATATAATGCATGGAGGAGGGGGGGGGGGCGTAAGTTCCTCAGAGGTGACATGAGGGTTTTTTCCTAATGTCAAGCCATTCCCTATTCATTCCTTGGGAAGCCCTAACAGTATATTTCGTTATATCTTAAATTATAATAAAATGATTAAAATACAAAGAAAAAAATTAAAGTTTATCAAACATGCATCTTGTTATTGGCCTCCCTCCCTCCCTTTTATCTGTGTATCTCATTGATGGAAGGATCTATTAGTATAAACTTATATTACAAAAGAATATATTTTACACTTTCATATAAAGATAATATCTTCTATATTTGATATTTTAAAAAAATTGTACATTTTGATGCCATAAGTGTTTAAATATTTTAAGAAGCACAATAAAGTGGCATGCAGTTGCTTTACATGGCAATCTTAATTTAATGTTCAAACATGTAAAAAGTGTTATAGTACAATACAAAATACCAGAAGATAAACCTAATGTTGTTGTTCTTTTTTTTTACATCTTCACTTTTCATTCAGCTTTGGTGCTTGTGAAGTATCAATTTAATGTACTATTAGCAGTGCTAGTCAGTTGTGACGAGAGTAAGTTACTTATTTCGTATATAACAGATAACAAATTCTTTTATGGTAGCTTAATATACTTCTAAGATATTTTTTGTATTACGTATTATAACAAATGATGCATATAAATAGTGGACATTTAAAGAGGTAAATAATTTTCATTACTTTTAATTTATTTTGCACTTGGGAATATACATTCCATTTTCATACATCCTGCAAAATGTTTTTTGAAGTTACTCATTTTGTTTTAAGTTTTAACTTGAAAATTTGTTTACTCAGCTGGTTAATGTTTTATCTGAATGACATGTATAAAATGAATATTTTCCTTAGCTAGCTGACATCGTCATAGAATGAATGGGGGAGATGTAGAGGTCTCCATGGATGACATAGGGTTTAGATCCTAATATCAGACCATCTCCATGTCTCTCCCTATGGATCCCTAATTGTAAATGCCAAGTTTGTTGACAATTGGTGCAGCATTGTGTCAGTTACAAGCAGATACACATGCACAGATTTTTGGCAATTAATAGTTTAGGTAACTGGAGAATAGATGTTTTGTATTAGGTTATGATTGTCATATTATCTTTTGATATAGGATTCATAGTAACTTTTGTTGTTATGTTTCATGCTGTGTGATTTATTTATATACTATAGCCCCTCCAGCAGATCCCAATGCAACTTTATCAGATCACCTTCTACAAGCTGTTCTCTCCCTCTTGAAAAAAGAAGTTTCAGAGTATGGTCGGCACTTGACACAGTATTTCAGCCTGTTTGTGATGTATGCTTCTCTAGGAGTAGCAGAGGTATGAAATATAGCTTATATTGAAAAGTAATCTACTAAGACAGGTGGGTCTGTACATTAGTGTATGCGGTGTTTCCTTCTGGAGGAGTTAGGAGAGTGATGCTCTGTTTAGGGTTTACTGCTATGATAACTAAAGCTCTATGTTAGTGTAAACTTCCTTAGGTGTGTGCCCGGCATGGCCAGGTGGTTAAGGCGCTCGACTCACAATCTGAGGGTCGCGGGTTCGAGTCCCCGTCACACCAAACATGCTCGACCTTTCAGCCGTGGGGGTGTTATAATGCTATGGTCTTACGTACTCTGTTCTATTTTACTGTAACGTTACATAACTTATTTCTTTTTAATTCATCTGGCTTGT